ATCTACAACTATGTAAAACTGTAATTTAGGCTTGGCATATTAAAGCTCCAATTTTAAAGGTCAAGGATATACTAACATTTAAATAGGCATTTTTCAACATTTTCTTTTGTTACAACCACATTAGATCTAACCAGACACACACAGCAAAACCCCGTTTATCCAATCTAACTGGGACCAGGGCCAGATCGGATAATCAAAAATTCGGATAATCCGGAGAATGGGACAATGCAAGGCTGCAGCACCGTCTAGTGGCCATAGGAGAGATCATCTGCTTCTGGACCTGTGTTGCTGGCTGTTTCGTTAATACGGACAGTTGGATAAAGGAGGGTCAGATAAATGGGATTTCTACTGTACTTGGTTCACAGTGCAACTCTAAGTTTCTACAATATTGACTACTTCTGTTATCATATAGCTAGTCAGCATCAAGTACATTTCCAAGCCACAGTGAGAAATTTTATATTAAGTGCTCTCACTAACAAAAGGTAAAGGAAAATACTTTCAGAAACACTTTTTAAATATCTAATTATAGTGCTTAAGTTCCAATTAAATATCTGCAGCCCTAACTTTAGATTAAAAAAACAAAAAAAAGTACACCTCATGTTGTACGTCTTTTTTGTAGAGTTAATCCCGACTTTAAAAAAATTTAAGATAGAAAGCTTATAGACTTCTTTTCAACAATTGTGTTATATAAAACTAGTTGTTGGAACATAATTACTTCGTAAATAGGTACCTGCTGGCAATCCAAGATTCTTTAACCATCTGAAACACTCTTATTTTGCTAAGAGTCATGTGCAAGGCACGCAATGTGATTAAGAAAATCCCAATTAGAACTCAGAAATTGCTATAGCAATTCACACACTACTCTAGCCTTTCTCTAGTTTAGGCCAGTATGTGATTACAAGAGAGAAAAGCTTTGTTTACCTCTAGTAGAACATCCAGTTTGGTTTTATTCCAACATTTATATAAACAAAACTATAACATTTTTTCATCTTTGCAGCTTATGTACATAGCACTCTTGGTAGGCTGAGGTGTTACGTATTAGTATACAAAGGGATTAATTTCTTTGGATCTAGATGTGCTGTTGTGGGGAATACATTGCTATCACTGACTATAAGAGGTGGTACACAAATTAGGAGAAGGCAAGGAGGCTGGGGGTGGGAGGGAGAAGGGGGGCCCACAGGTGGGACAAATGGCCAGCTGATTTGAGCATGGAGGATGGGCTGCAGTTGGTGCTTTGAGTGGACCCTAGGATTGCTTCACAGAACCCAACTTTCACAGGAGAGCCATGATTGGCCTGTGGTGCTATCAGTCACTGCAGCTCTAGATGGGAGGGGACTCCACCTGCTGAACTCCAACCTGTGGTAGAGAGTACTGATTCCTGGGGAGCAGGAACACCTAGAGGAGCAGTATGTGGAGTGGGAACTCCTCCCTCCAGCAGAATCCTCTCCACGTGCCCCCCCCCCCCTCCACTCTCGCTGTAGGAAGAAGCCATGGATTTGTGATTGAGGGGAGGGGAAGATACCAAGTGAGGGCGCTGCCAGGTCATTTAAAGCTGGGGCAATACAGTGGATGGGGGCACTGTCAGGTGGGGTTACAAGGAGTAGGGGGGTGAGCGCTGCTAGGTAATCCGGGAGGAGCATCGGGTGGGAGGGCCCTGTCAGGTGATTTGGGGGAATGAATTTGGGGGGCACTGCTCGATGGTATAGGAAATAATCACAACAATGCTTCTGAAATAGACTGATCTTTACATATTTATCTTAAAAAAATATCCAAGAGCATCCAGGGCTTAAGTGGCCCCTGGACCCCAGCTGAAAGTTGTCCCTCCTATTGAAATCTGAAATGGTGCCTGTACCCTTGTGGATGTGGGGACAGGTCCATGTTAAAAAAATGCTAAGGTGGGGAGTGATTCAAAAAAGGATGAGAAACCTTGTGTTGGGAGACAATATCACCATTGTTCCCCTCACAGTTCCAAGCCATAACTAAGCATGTTAAGTGAACTTAATACTACTTTAATACTACTACTTAGTTCTTATATAGCATTCTTCCTCCATGAAGCTTTACAAAGAAGAGTAAATATCCTATTTTCTTTACACAGATGGGAAGAATATGGCATAGTAAAGATGAACTGTTCACACAAAAAGAGCCAGTGGCAGAGATGGGAATAGAACAGATCTCCAGACTCCCAAATTAATGCCCTATCCACAAAATACACTGACTCCTTCATCTGAAGGAAGGATCACTAAATCAATAATCAAGGCTTAGGCCCCAATCCTGCAATAAGCACAATACGGGCAGGCTCATTGTAAAACTGGGTCTTTAGAGTTCAATCCTCTAAATGCAAAAATGTCCATCATTACACTCTTCCAGTAGTTTATAAACAAAATCAGTCATGTTTTTTAAGCACCATCCCACTCTGTTTTATCAGTCATTCAGTTACTCTGTGATGTAGGTGAATAGAAAAAAAGAATTCCCTGTTCACTCTCTTCTATTACTTCTGATTAGACAAACTTGTATCCTAGCAATATCCTTATGGATATGCAAACTAACTCACAAAATTGTAAACTGATATACATTTATTTAGCATGAGACATGCTGTATTACTCTCTGGAAGCTTAAAACCCGCTAAAATTTTATTTTATTTTTGTGCTGTTAGTTACAGTGAAGCTCCTTTTTAGAGTTACATCTTCCAATCTAAATCCCAAATAAATTTTAAAGGGAAATTCCAGACAGTCGGTTTGCTCATCTTGACCACACAGAAATTCAGATCTCATCATGAACAAATCACAAAACACGTTTTAAAATCCTGCTAAAAAATCAAACTTCTTGTGTCAATGGCAGTCTGAATCTTATGTATAACTAAAGAAACTTCTAGCTTTTGTTAAAATACTGTCTAAAATATGGATCTATAACAGGCTTTTGTGTCTGATATTTAAGATTTAAGCCTTTCGCTACTTATTCAATTGAGCTAAAAGAGGGGTTTTCATGCTGTGCTATAGCACACTTTCCCCTCCCATTTGTGGTCCTCACCTCCACAGTTGTATATGTAGGCACTTATATGTATCCTTTAACCACAGTATCTGAACAACAGTATCTCCATGGTAATTACGCATTTGTTTACACGGAAAAGTAGTATTAGAAAAGTACTTCTATATATTTAGCTGCCTTTAGATCCTTTTGGAAAAAAAAGTTCACCACTCTGTCTCCTTTTACTCTAGATAAGCTGTTCTCAACCAGAGGTCCGGGGCCCCTGGAGGTCCGCACGCAGGTTTCAGGGAGTCTGCCAAGCAGGGCCAGTGTTAGACTTGGTGGGGCCCAGGGCAGAAAGCTGAAGCCCCGTCATGCAGGGCTGAAGCTCGAGGCCCAAGACCGGTCAGCTGGGGTGAAGCCGAAGTCTGAGCAACTTTGCTTTGTGGGGTCACCTGTGGTGTGGGGCCCTGGGCAGTGGCCCTGCTTGCTACTCCCTAATGCTGGCCCTGGCTTTTACAGGATATGCAGAAAAATAGTTGTTATGGTATAGGTGGGCTATGGGGTTTTTAATAACATGTTGTGGGGGCCTCAGAAAGAAAATGGTTGAGATCCCCTGCTCTAGATTTCATCTCCTGCTCCTATCTGTTCCATCCCCCTGCATGGACATGAGTAGAAAGAGGACCATCTATTTAGCCAGCACTCCACAGACCAGCAAGCCATGGACCACAATTTGGGAACTTCCATATAACACTGCTGTAAACGTTTAACCATAGTTTTTATTTCTTACTAGATGCAACCTATTAATGAAATACAAATATTGGCGCACTACTTCAGACCTCACTAAGTTATTCCCCCATTAAAGAAAAGACATAGGGAATAATAGTTAAAACTGTACATTTTATGGCTCTTTCATTGGTAACCAAAAGGGAATGTACTGAACCTTAGGTACTTTACTGTGCTTAGTATCCCCTACTGAATCCAGTTAAATAGAACTGTTTGTATCCTCTACGATTTCTAGTGTTTCCTAAATACAATGTTGTATATACATTTGATATAATATACACATGGGCACACACGTACAGAACCCCAAAGAAGTTTGACTCTAACGGGAGATTACTGTATTTAGCAACGAATAATAAAGCTGACAGGCTGTACATATATTCCAATTTTTTTTCTGCAGTTATACAACAAATGTAGTTGATAAGTTTTATAAAACTTAGAAGCCAGATTTAATGCAGTACAATGGGGCAAGATCCTGATTAAGAACTCTGGGTGCTATTGTAATACAAATAACAGTATTTAAAACAAGACACTGTATTCACCAAGAGTAAATCAGGGAAAAGACTGATAATCACACTTGATAAATCTATTAATGAAATGCAAGATTCTTCACAAAAACATCTATATCGAGTGGAACAATGACTTCAATCAGGCTTGCCTAATATACCAAGTATCAATGGTCTACAAATGCCTCTGACTGACAATGGTGTATGTGGATACTGCACACAGCACTAAAAAGGAAACTAAAAAGCTGTTTGAAAATCATTCTGCATCCTACAGCACTACCTTCACTGCAGAGCATCCTCTATACAGACACCACCTCCTCAGCTCACGATTATTAATTCTACTGAACTCCCGTTAAGGCACAGAAAGTAAATCCATCATTTAACCTCAATTAATGCCGATATTTCCTCTGCAATGTTACTTTCCGAAGCGGAGTGACTGTCCCCTATTCCTTCGTCAAGCTTGGCCCGGCAGCCATGTCCTTATTCCCCTACGAACGGTGGTTTCGGAAAGGGAACGACCTGCTCGCAGTGAACTTACACAGTCCCTCAGCAAAACCTGGCGGAGCCAAACCTGCACAGCAAACACCAAAGGCATCTAAGGCACCACCACGGCAGTGGGGCGAAGCAGCCTAGATCCGCACCAGCGCCGAGCCTCGCACAGGGGAGCGGGGCCGGGACAAATCGGGCACCATTCCCTCATGCAACCCTCTCCCCATCCCTTCCCAGACAGAGAGACGAGGGTTTTACCTTCATGATGAGCTCAGGCTGCGGAAAAAAGCCCCCGATCGGGGCTGAGCGGCCGAGGCTGGACCTGGAATTAAAACAAAGCACTGAGCCACCGCACCAGCCGTTTGCACCGGAGCGCGGGGGGAACAGGCGGGGGAGCCGCCGGGATCCTGGTCAACCCCCTTCTTCCAGATCTCGCCACCCCCCATTTGTGAAATCTCCCCATTCAGTCCCCCCTCCCCTCGCTCGGCCACTGCTTTCCCTCCAGCCCCCACACACCGCGGCTCGGCTTCCCCTTCACTCGCTGCCATTGACGCCATTTCTGTCAGAGGAGGAGAAACTTGCCACAACAACAACCCACCCCCAGCCTCTCCGGCTGCTCCAGGAGAGTCCCCGCTCCGCGCCCAGCTCACAGGGGCCGGGGCTCTCAATCCTCTCCCCAGAGACCTGCGGGCTGGAGGGGGGCGGCGATGTCTGATCCCTGGAAACCCCCCCACTTTGCTGCGGCGGAGGGGGGGGGGAAGGGGCCGCTGCTCCTCCATTGTATGAGGAAGAGGAGGGGGTTGGGTGGCAGCTCTCCCCGTTGGAGGGGCTGCGGCTCTGTGGATCCCGACAGAGGCGGCAGCTTCTCCCACCCCCATAAAAGAAAGCGCTGACTCCGCGACAGGAGTTTTAACAGCAACAGCCGCAACTGCCCAGCGCAGCGGGCCGGACCCGATCAGCAGAGGCAGTAATGAGGCAGCCCCTCTCGGGCTCCTCGCCGCCCCGCAGCGACTCCAGCCCCTCACCACCCCCCACCTCACGCGCGGGGGGGGGGATCAGCGAGTCCCGCCGCAGTCTCGCCAGGACAAAAACAACCCCGCTCCCGCCTGGGAACGGCCACAAGCAGCGAACGCCCCGCTCCCTCACCCGCTGGCGGCGGGGCCGGGGCGGCTCTTTCTCCTGCTGTCGCTGTTACCTTTGTTCCGCGGCGCCCGCCCGCGGCTCTCCCTGACCCGGGAGGAGATGGTGGGCGAAGCCTCCTCCCGGCTCCCGACCCGTTGGGTTGGTGCTGGCCCCGGATCAATCCCCCAGCAAGGGCTCTGGCTACGGCTGCAGCTCCGCGCTGCGTATGATGGGGCCGATCCCCCCTGCCCGGACCCGGCGCTGGCGGTGGCTGCTCCGCTCGGAGCCTCTCACTCCCCTCCCCCACCTCACAAAGTGACTGACGCATAGAGAGCCGCCCCCTCCCCGCCCTGCACTTTCTCTATTGGTCCGGAACCGGTAAGGCCCACCCGTCTCCCTGCACCATTGGCCCCCATATCGGAAACACTAACGTCATTTTTCCACCAATTCTATGGAAACAGAGACTCGGCGCCGCAGAGGCTCATGGGTAACGCGGTTCTTTCCATCGCCGCTCTTCTGCGCCCATGAAGCAGCTGAGCTTCACACCCGAACCACATATCCCATGATGCATCGCGCATGAGGGGCCGCCAGGGGGTGGGACGAATCGAGTGCTAATTAAAACAAGTGGGAGGGCCTAGCGCCTGCGCAGTGAAGCCCTGGTGGCGCATTTTCCCCCCTAACAGAAGAGGGTGGTGGCAGTAGCAGTTAAGGTGGAAGTGGGTGGAGTTTTTAACGCGCTGCTGCCGGTGTCGGAGCTGGGGAACCCGCCTGGGCCGGAACGGCGGGGCGGGGCGGGGTGCGTCTTGGCCAGGCCCGGGAACGAGGAGGCGGCAGGAGGCAGATGTGACCCCGGCCGGCGGTAGGTGGGGGGGTTCGGGCGCCTCCGGTCCCCTCCGCCCCCCCTGTGCCCCGGTCTCCCCGGTCCGTGCCGCCAGCCGGGCTGCTTTGTGCTGCCGGGGGAGGCTCCCTGCTGGGAGCGACACCTACCCGGCCTGTTCCTCTCGGCCCGCTGGGCTTGGTTCGCCGCCGCCGCGCCCCGGGGCAACGTTGCGCCATGACACGAGCGCCCCGCTGCGCGCGGACCTGCCCGGGTCCCGGCCGGCGAGCTGCCTGGCGAGCTGGGGAAAGCGGGAGCAGGTCTCGCGGCGCAGCCGCCGGTTCGGTCGCTGCCCGGAGCCTGCCGCGGTAGTGTTGTGCCTGACCGCTCGGCCGGCACCGGCAGGGAGAACTGAGGGGAAGCAAAGGGCCGGCAGCATCCGGACTCCCTATTCGCTCTGTTCCTTTGGGGTCGCTCTGAAAGCGGCCTCGGCCTCTGAGGGTGGCGCCTCCCCGGGAGGCAGAGCTGAGCTGGCTGAGCCCCCAGTATTCTCGGGGGCTGAAGGGGCCGCTATTTGGTCTTGCTCTGGCTTTTGCTGAAATGGCGCTGTAATTTAAGCAACAGCAGCATATATACGTAATCAAAGCCACTGCTGGAGTTGATGTACCCAGCTTTTGGCAGAGGTAAGCAATAAATAGCCCTCAGGATGAACCGTGTGTAGTTGAGTTTTGTTACCAGTCATTGCGGGTTTAGCCATTTGGTGTTCTGTTGAGTATTTTGCTTTCTTTGTAAAGACATTTAAAGTGTAGTTCAGCTCTGAAAATAGTGTAGTTGTGGCATAGTTAGGTTCCATGGTGACTGTTTCTCTGACTTCAGTTTCATTCAGTTTTACAAGTTAAAAGATTGTATGTCTGAATTGCCAGTCCTGCAAATTTAATGTAGGTTTTTAAAAGCAGAATGGTCCTTCTCTGCTTTCTCTGTTACCACTAAAAATAGACTTCGGTAGACCAAATTCTGCCCTTAGTTACACCTGACAACCCTACGGATGATAGCTTGGATCAAAGACCGTGTTTGCCAAGACATCACCTATTACTGCCGTGTAGGTGCTGCTGAGCTAGAAGTGACTTTAAAATAATAAAAATTTGCTCTTATGTATTCGGTCATTTGAGTAATAAATGGTAAATCTGCAATAAGATGGTATTTCTATGTAACTTCTGGCCATGACTAATCTTTTTAAACTCCTGGGGGAATTCTGCACCAATGTATGTGTGCAGAATTCATGTCCCATGCAGATTTTTTTGTTTCCCCCGCAGAAAAAAAAATTTCTGACAGGGAAGCAAAGGGAAGGTGCAAGAGCACTCTCACACCACTCCTTAGCAGGGCTGGCACATTGTTTCAGACCCCCAGAGTGGCCAGTGGAGAGGTAAATCACCACGGGGCTGGAGACACCCCAGCCAGGTGCTCCTACCCTGAGCTAGCATCAGCTGCTAGTCCCGGCTGGGCTGGAGGCAGGAGAGGATGGGACTTCCTCTTCCCCTGTGAGGAGTTGCTGGGGCTATGTCAGACCTACTCCCAGAAACCTCCCCCAGCTGCAGAAAGCTTAGCATCCTCCCCTGTTTCCTGCCCCCATCTCTCCTCAGCTGTGGGAGGAGGGGTCTCGGTACAGGGAACTGCTCCCCCATCCACCCAACCCCCATGCATCCGGACCTCCCATACCCAGACACCTCTGCCAAGCCTCACCTGGTAATCCAGAACCCCCCCTTAGCCCTCCATACCAGAACCCCCCCTTGCACCCAGACCACCCCCCACTGAGCTTCCTTCAATCAAACCCCCAACCCTGATGCCCCACCCCGTACCACCCTGAGCCCTCACATCCAGATCCTCATGCCACTGACCCTCAACTAGCTGCACCCAGACTTCCGCCCCACCAAGCCCCACTCCCACAACCATCCCTGCTGATACCCCCACTCCCAGACCCTCCGCTGAGCCCCAACCACCTTCACCTGGAAGCCCCTGTGGAGTCCAGTTGCCCCTGCAACCCTCCCAACAAGCCTCTATGCAGCCAGATCTCCCCCCCCCCCCTCCACTAGGGTGACCAGATGTCCCGATTTTATAGGGGTGGTCCCAATTTTTGGGTATTTTTCTTATATAGGCTCCTATTACCCCCCCACCCCATCCCAATTTTTCACACTTACAGTCTGGTCACCCTACCCCCCACTGAGCTGCCTGCACCCAGATTGTTCCACACAGAATTCTCTCACCCCACACCTGGATCCCCCCACGCTGAGACCATCCACTCTTGGATCCTGCATGGTTGAGCTTGCCTGCCCCGCACCTGGTGCAGAGGGGCAGGGCCCCAGGGTATTTCTGGGGCAAGCCCAAGCCTTGTGCTGCGTCAGGATCGGGTGCAGCCTCACTGCAGTGTCGATGTCTGGGAGCTGAGGGGGACTGTAGGGTGATCTCCTACCTTCATGTAGCCAGTGGCCTGTGCTCCCCACTGCCATGCTGGAGCCTGTGCATTTATTTATTGACAAATGAAACTTGCAGAATTTGCATATTTTAAAAATATTGTGTGCAGAATTTTTAATTTTTTGCGCAGAATGCCCTCGAGTAAAATTTTTAAGATAAACCTGTAAATTGGCTCAATAGGAGCCATTTCAAGGACCTGCTGCAACAGTAATAGTGAAAACTGCTTGGCATTCTTGAACTGCTTAGATTGCTAAAACTAGCAATATTAACTTGTAATGCATATGTTTTGGATATTGAGACTAGCCTGGTTTTAATTTCTGGTTTTATTAGATGCTGCTGCTGCTCTAAGAATTGCAGACCGTATTTAGAGACAAGGTGGGTGAGATAATCTTTTATTGAACCAACTTCTGTTGATCAGAGACAAGTTTTCAAGCTTACTCAGAGCTCTTTTTCAGTGTAAGCTTGAAACATTGTCTCTCACCAACAGAAGGGCTATTAAAATATATTACCACACCTACTTTGTGTGTCTCATACCCTGGGACTGTCGCAGCTACAACAACGTGGCAAATGCTGAAGGGGATGTGCTTAAATAAATAGATTTATTCAAAATGTCCTCTAAAATATAACTTGCATTCATCTACATTTTGTAGTCCCTTAAATATTGAGGTGATTCTTATGTTGAAGGAGTTGGCTAAGCTATACTCACAAAATGGAATGCATTGTGCTAGCCAATTAGATTACTATATAGCCTAATACCTCCTTGATCACTTAAGTTGTTTTGCTGCATGTCTCTACTTTGATTTTGTCTTTTAAATTGAGAGCTCTTTGGAAAGTGCTAGAATACTATGATGTTAATGTAAACAAGTAATAGAATTGGTGGTAATAAAATGAGTGCAAAAATTACGGTAAAAGTTAAATACTCTATTAAAGTATATATTTTACTGAGCTGTTTTGGCAACACTTGCCTCCATTAAGAAATCATTTCTCCACAAGTGAAATATTTAGCTGCCCATGGATTGGAACATACCTCATTTGGTACCAGCAACACCATGCAGCAGTCTAGGAGGCAAAGTGAAGAATAAATTTTCAGACTGAAGCTAAATGTTGTAAACTAATATAATAACCAAATTGGGATTTGGGCGTAACAGCATTGTGAACACCTTTGCTCTTGCAAAGAGGGCTATGAAAGCTTTTTATAACAAACAATAACTTTTCTATATTAGGTCTGAAATAGAGCCTCTCTCTTTGCACGTGCTTTTTAACCTTCCTGGGGAATCTTCTTAGCTGCTGAATTGCTCGTGCCACTTTCTTTGGAGGTCTTCTATTCAATCACTGGCTTAGGTGATATGATGACATATATTTTAAGGTGTGTCTATACTGGCACATTTAGGACAGTAAAGCCAAATTTATTGATTACAAGTCCAAAAGGACCATTGTGATTGTGTGGTCTGATCTCATGTATAACACAGGCCATAGTTTCTGCAAAATAATTCCTAGAAAAAAGATTGTCAATGATGGAGAATCCACCATGACCTTTGTTAAATTGTCCCAGTGGTAAATTACACCTTACTTCCAGTCTGAATTTGTCTTGCTTCAACTTCCAGCCATTAGATAATGTTATACCTTTCTCAGCTAGATTGCAGAGCCCATTATTAAATATTTGTTCCCCACGATACTATAGACTGTAACCAGGTTACCTCTTAACCTTCTAAGCTAAATAGATTGAGTTCTTTGAGTCTATCAATATAAGGTATGTTTTCTAGTCTTTTAATTATTCTCATGGCTCTTCTCTGAAACCTCTCCAATTTATCAACATTCTTCTTGAAGTGTGGACATCAGAACAGGACACTGTATTCCAGCAGCAGATGCACCAGTGCCAAATACAAAGATAAAATGATCTCTGCTCCTGCTCGAGATTCCTCTGTTTATGCATCCCAGAATCACATTAGCTCATTTAGGCACAGCATCACTCTAGAAGCTCATGTTCCACTGGTTATCCACTGTGACAACCCCCCAAATCTTTTTGAGTCACTGCTTCCTGGGAAAGAGACCCCCATCGTATAGCATGGCCTATGTTCTTTGTTAGATGTATATATTTACATTTAGCTGTATTAAAATACTTATTGTTTACTTGTGCCCAGTTTATCAAGTGATCTAGATTGTTCTGAATCAAGGACCTGTCCTCTTCTTTATTTACCACTCTCCAAATTTTTGTCATCAACAAACTTTCAGTGATTTTTGTTTTCCTTCAGGTCATTGATAAAAATGTTAAGCATAGGGCCAAGAACCAATCCCTGCTGGACATGACTGGAAATACAACCGATCCATGACTATTCCCTGTTTATAGTTACAATTAGCCAATTTTAATCCACTTCACATGTGCCATGTCAATTTTATATCATTCTAGTCTTTTATTTGAAGTGTTGTGTGGTATCAAGTGAAATGCGTTAGAAGTCAAAGTATACTGTGTCAACACCATTACCTTCATCAACTAAACTTGTAATCTCATAAAAAAAAAAATCAAGTTAGTTTAACAGGGTCTATTTTCCATAAACCCATGCAGTTTTGCATTAATTACCTTACTTAACCCGCTTTTATTTATTAAACAAGTTCTGTATCAGCTACTCCATTGTTTTGTCTGGGATCAGTGTCAGACTGACAGGCCTTTAATTCCCAAGTCATCTCATTTACCCTTTTTAAAAATTTGGCACACACTAGCGTCTTTCCAGTCTTCTGGAACTTCCTCATTGCTACAAGACATTGGAAAATCAGCATTAAAAATCCAGTGAGCTCTCCAATTAACTTGAATCCCAGAGGTTTAAAAATGCTATCTGGAGCTGCTGAGGTAAAAATATCTAACTTTAGTAGACATCCTCCAGAGAGATCGTGAAATGGAAAGTGTTATACACCTTATGATGAGACTATATCATCTGTTTTTCCTCAAATACAGAACAGAAATATTTATTGAACACTTCCTGTCTTTTCTGCATTATTATTGATGATTCTACCACTTTCAGCTAGTAAGGAACAAAAAGAATCCTGATGGTCCATAATATATTTACAAAACTCCTTCTTATTGTCCTTAACTCTGCTGGCCATAGATTTATTTATTTTTTTCGTTGTGTCCCTTGGCTTCCTAGATCAGCTTGCTACAATTTGTAACTTCTGCCTTATATTCATTCATTATCACTTTCCCTTTTTTCCACTTGTTTTTTATCTATATCTATATGCATGCTTTCACTTCCCTTCTAAAGCAGATTATTTTTTTTAACTAGATCTGCTGCTTTCTTTTGTTGTGGCTTTTTGGGCATCTTGTAAGGTGTTCTTAAATGATTTCCAGTTATTCATTTTTCTAATTAAATTCTTCCAGCTGATTTGGCTCAGAATTGTTTTCAGCTTTGTGAAAGTGGCCCTATTAAAGAACCGTGTGTGTGTGTGTGTGTGTATACACACACACACACACACACACACACACACACACACTGGTGTGGACTTTATTCTGCTTGCACATTTATTTACTTATTTATTTATGATCTCTTGTACCGAAGCTACCATTAATTTTAGTTCTGTAATCACTTCCTCTTTATCTGTTCAGACAAGGTCTAATAAAGAATTCCCCTGTGTTGGATTCAACACATCTTGAGTTAGGAAACTGTCATCTGTAATGTTTAGAAATTCCAAGAAATGTTTTAGTATGGGAAGCATGAGACTTCTAGCATGTCAGTCAAACTGAAGTCCCTTGTGAGCATGCACCTTTCCCCCCCCTAAATATTATAAACAGGGAACAGGATGACCAGCCCCCAGGAACCTAGTGTGACTTGGTGATCTGTACCAGACACCAACTAATACCCCATCTTTTAGGACATTGATCCATAAGCATTCAAGATCACTGTCTTCTGAGTTCAAAGACTCAGAAATAGGTAATGCTATCTTTGACATAGCGCCACCCCCTCTCCTTTTGCCCACTCCATCCTTCTTAAATGTTATACCCATTTGTTTTAACATTCCAATCATGCACATAATCCCAGTAGATTTCAGTACTACAAACTAGACGAAATTTGTGCTCATAAATGAGCAATTTCAGACTCTCTTGTTTGTTACCCCAGCTCCTAGCATGAGTGCAGAGGCAATTCAGGAATTTCTTCTGTGTCCTTTCGTTCCTTGATTAATGTTGTTCAGTGTCTTTAGTGTGTGTGTGTGCGCGCGTGCAGAGTGCTCATATCTTCCATCTTTTTATTCTTCCTTTTGCTATTAGTTTTACTTAAATTCACATCTTCCGTTAATTGAAAACAGCATGTTAAATCCCTGTGAGTGCACTCATTCAGAAGTAAAGTGGCCTTAGTTTGCTCAAATTTAATTCACAGTGACCCAAAGATGTGTTGGGTGACAGAGATGACATGAGGCTGACTGAGACCTTGTTTTATTTTTTCACTGGGAAACGGTCAAAAAGTATAGTTATTTTTTTAAATGTCATTTTTTCCTAATGGGGGGGCTCTCAAGCTCCTTCATATTGTGGACGATATGTTAATAGAGGAGGTTTCATAGATCATCTCCTAGTCTGTTTGCAACTGCATAACTTCTTTATGGCAACTTGATCAGTTGCTTACTTTCCCATTATTTTTTCATGTATTTGTGCTAAGGCGTGTCTAATGCAATGGGCAGGGTGCGGAATTTGTTTTTAGTCTTCATTTGCCCTCTCCAGTTTCTAGTGTTGCTCTTTTCTCTTATTCAGTGTTCAAGTTTCTCTGCCACTTGTGCAAGGGGACATGCTTCTGTTGCCTGCATGTTTTTATCTTTTTATTTTTATTTTTTTTTTAAATCCCCTTCCCCTGCACAGACTTTCTTGTCATTCTGTTCTTTGTTCTACTGGATGTGTTGCCTTGCCACTTGACCCTCTTGCAGTGGATCTACTGCCTGACTGCTTTGTTCTCCTCTTCATGGGGCGGCTCTTGTGGCATTGACCATCAGTTCCTGTTCTCTGTATAAGTAGTTAGGCTGCCTTTTATTTTTTTCAGCTGCTTCTGTAGGATTCCCTTCTCTTCTTGACAACAAATAGTCCGATCTAAGGTTGGGCATTTGACTGGTCCAGAAATAATTGGTCAAATATTGTCAAATGTCAAACGGTCAGATATTTTAAAGTGTTAACTATTAGAGCAGTACCAAAAGAATACTGTATGATTTCCAATAAGGTTAGCTTTAAATTCTTATGCTTAATTACAAAAAACAAGTTACTTAAGTGAGTTATTTTAACGCTGAAAAATGCGAAACTCAATAAAATGAAGTTCTGAAGAATGGCTCTATGGTGCAGTCAAAAGGTTAGGTCACCTCCTACATTGGGGCATTCTTGGTGAAATATAGAACAATATTTTACCTCAATCAAATAGATGGTTGGTTAACGTTATTTGACTGCTCAATTGACCAGATTGTCAAGCCTAGTCTGGACACCCATAAAAGCATCTGGAAACAAGAAAGAGGCAATGATATCTTCTCCATGGACCACCCAGTGACTTACAGATTGGTATGGGAAACTGTCTTAACTAGTTTCAGAGTAGCAGCCGTGTTAGTCTGTATCCGCAAAAAGAACAGGAGTACTTGTGGCACCTTAGAGACTAACAAATTTATTAGAGCATAAGCTTTCGTGGGCTACAACCCACTTCTTCGGATGCATATGCATATGCTTATGCTCTAATAAATTTGTTAGTCTCTAAGGTGCCACAAGTACTCCTGTTCTTTTTGTCTTAACTAGTGACCTCTTGTTGTGAAAGGGCAGAGGGAATTAGGGTTGGGCATGTATGTAACAGTTTGAAGACATTGCATAGTGAGTGCGGCACCGTATGAGTAGGAATTTCTGAATATCTTGTATCTGATCGAGAACTTCGTAAGGCATCACAAAACAACATATTTATGTTGAAGAGAGGGTAAACCTATATGCTCACCTTTTGAAGAACTCTATTGAAAAACCATTTTTCTCTAGAAATCTCATTTTGCAGTAAGCCAAATACTCTTACTGTAGCAGAAGAGTGTGCAACTAACTCTGCATATTGTATAGCTCTGGGAAACATCTGGGGGAAAATCTTAAATTTCAAATTCGTATTCTCTGAAATTAACAGCTTTCAGAATCTTAGCTTTTGGCCCTGTGCTTTTACAAAAAGGGCATGTGTTTGGATAACCATTTGAATACAGTTTTTTGACAATATGATAAACTCATAGCATCACATAATGCAGTTCATAGAATTGTTTCTCACCTTTCCAGGATCTCCCTTTGTCTTTTTTTTCCCCCTAGTCTCTATTTCTTTACCCAATTCCATCCTTATTTTGGGGTAAGATTGTGATATTCTTACTTCGCAAGTAGTCCCACTGAATTTGGTGCGACTAATGTTGCAAGGTACTCTGTTCAGTGTGAGGAAGGGTATTGCAGTCTGGATTACCCATAAATTAACTAACTGTTAAGGAGGCTGCGCTACATTAAGTGTTTAATTTATGTTTTTTGTAATACAAGTCTTTCCTGTGTATGTGGAGAAAACTGTTACCAAGAGTCATCTAGGAAAACGGTCTGGAAATAGTAAATGGAATAAAGTTACATTTTAGCAAAAATTTTGATCACTCTCCTTCATATGCCTATTTTCAAAATGAGTACATTACACTTATAAATCTAGCAGCAGGGTTTTTGGCTGGTAGCCAAGGACATTCTTCAACTGTTAAGGCAAAACACTCCTTGCAAGATGCCTTCTAAACAGGCAAGGGCTGCTGCTGAAGTAAAATGAAACTTCATACTACCACTGCAGCTCGAGTCTTCAGATGACATTAAAAGCATTGAGTTTTGAGCTGCTGCATCTGCAGTGCAGCAAGAAAGGTTAGAGGTGAGAGGAAGGAAAATGGATTACAGAAAAATCTGAAAAAAGTCACAAATGGAGAACCTGAGAGAGAGAACATGAACTGAGAAATGAACATTAGAAGATGAATGAGATATATAGACAAATCCATAATTGGCAGTAAGAGAACTTGAGACACAAATGGAATACATGATAGAAAAAACAAGGATAAAGAGAATCAAACACTTAAACGGATATAAAAGAATAGGACATAGCAGGCATAATGGTATGAATTTTAAAACAAATATGAAAGAATAAATAAGCCAAAAATTTCGAGTGTTTTAAAATATGCCTTAAAAATTCAGTTTGTCTGTTTTATTTTTAATCCAGAAGCTTATAGTAAACTTGTGTATTGTGTGTATTCGTTCCTGGACATAAACATGTGTTTAGAATTTGAATTATTCTGATTCTAACTTTTAGAAATATCTACATAATGGTGCTTGATAGTTGTGTGGGATTCTATTAGCTAGTTTTTTAAATACCCATTTGCCAGAATATCTAAAATGTCTAAAGACCCGAACATCAAAGCAGATTTTAAAATTGTTTATAATGAATTTCAGTTTAAATGGTTTTTGCTTTCTCAAAAATCAAAACAAGTTCCCCTGTTTTTAAAACGTGCTGGTTAAAGTATATAAAGCAACAGCAAGCCGACTTTATTTTGTAATGTAAAGCCAGTGATGGTTAGAAAGCGATGGTTTTCTTTCAAGCAACACTTTTTAAGTGGGCCTTTGTCCTAAATCCCTTAAGCATGCTTATCTCTTCCCTTCTTTCTTAGAATTAGGGGCTGGCTTCCATTTTATATTTTTATATATATATATTTTTAATTCTCTAACATTGATTGTGGTAGTAAGAAATCTCCTTTCTTTGACAGAGTGAAACACTGCTTCTTGAAATGGAGGGAATGGAAGAAACATCTGAAAGAATTCTTTTAGAGCCATACAAGTATTTACTTCAACTGCCAGGCAAGTGTCCTTTTACCATTTTGTTGTGTTTACTTGTTTTCAGAGAGTGATCAAATTCAAAAGAATAAGTAGAGGACAATTCTGTCCAGTCTTGACTTGTATAGAATTTGATTCTGAGCAGTTTAATTCTTTTATTGAAAGGAGCAGAATTTTCTATTTAGAAAATCCTAACCACTAGGACTAGACTAGGAGAAATCTAGCACTTCTGAGATTGTCCCTCTGACCTGTCCAATTCAGAGAAATGGTTCTTCCCCCTCCCCTCACCACTCCATTGTAAGGAACCAATATACTGTCTAATGCAATGGTACACATACTCCTGGTTGAGAATCTCGGGAATACACAGAGGTCTTCCAGGGGGTACATCAACTCATCTAGATATTTGCCTAGTTTTACATAGGGCTGTCAAGCGATTTAAAAAAAGTAATTGTGATTAATCACACTGTTAAACAATAATAGAATACCATTTATTTAAATATTTTTGGATGTTTTGTACATTTTCAAATATTGATTTCAATTATAACACAATACAAAGTATACAGTGCTCCCTTTCTATTTTTATTACAAATATTTGCACTGTAAAACAAAAGAAACGGTATTTTTCAGTTCACCTCATACAAGTACTGTACTGCAATCTCTTTATGGTGAAAGTGCAACTTACAAATGTAGAATTATGTAAAAAAAAAAAAACTGCACTCAAAAACAAAACAATGTAAAACTTTAGAGCCTACAAGTCAACTTAGTCCTACTTCTCATTCAGCCAATCACTCAGATAAACAAGTTTGTTTATATTTGCAGGAGATAATGCTGCCCACTTCTTGTTCACAGTGTCACTTTAAAGTGAGAAAAGGTGTTCGCATGGCACTTTTGTAGCCGGCGTCGCAAGATATTTACATGCCAGATGTGCTAAAGATTCATGTCCTTTCATGCTTCAGTCACCATTCTAGAGGACATGCGTCCCTGCTGATGACTGGTTCTTCTCGATAACAATCCAAAGCAGTGCAGACTGGTGCATGTTCATTTTCATCATCTGAATCAGATGCCATCAGCAGAAAGTTGATTTTCTTTTTTGGTGGTTGGGATTCTGTAGTTTCTGCATCGGAGTGTTGCTCTTTTAAGACTTGTGGAGCTCCACACCTCGTCCCTCTCAGATTTTGAAAGGCGTCGAGTGCTGTAGCTGTTTTTAGAAATCTCACATTGGTACCTTCTTTGCATTTTGTCAGATCTGCCATGAAACTGTTCTTAAAAATGAATATCATGTGCTGAGTCATATTTCATGTTATAGTAGTCTCGGATAATATGGCAGAATGCGGGTAAAATAAAGCCAGAGACATACAATTCTCCCCAAGGAGTTCAGTCACAAATTTTAATTAACACATTTATTAAACAAGCACCATCAGCTTTGAAGCATGTCCTCTGGAATGGTGGCCAATGCATGAAGGGGCATACGAATGTTTAGCGTATCTAGCATGTAAATACCTAGCAATGCCGGCTACAAAAGTGCCATGCGAACGCCTGTTCTCACTTTCAGGTAACATTGTGAACAAGAAGTGGGCAGCATTATCTCCCGTAAATGTAAACAAACTTATTTGTCTGAGTGATTGGCTGAGCGAGATGTAGGACTGAGTGAACTTGTAGGCTCTAAAGTTTTACTTTTTTTTTTTTGGTTTTGAGTGCAGTTATTTTTTTTCTACATTTGTAAGGTACACTTTCACCATAAAGAGATTGCAGTACAATACTTGTATGCGGTGAACTGAAAAATACTGTTCCTTTTGTTTTTAAAGTGCAAATATTTGTAATCAAATACGTGAGCAGTGTACACTTTATATTCTGCATTGTAATTGAAATCAATATATTTGAAAAACATCCAAAATATTTAATATATTTCAATTGGTATCGATTGTTTAACAATACAATTAAAACTGCTATTAATCATTTTTAATAGCGATTAATTTTTTTGTTAATTGCGTGAGTTAACGGCAACTAATTGACAGCCCTAATTTTACAACAGGCTACATAAAAAGCACTAGTGAAGTCAGTACAAACTAAAATTTCATAAAATTTGTTTATGTACATTTTATTTTTATATGGCAAAAATGAGAGAGTAAGCAGTCCCCCCCCAGTAATAGTGTGCTGTGACACTCATGCCTGATTTTGTAAGCAAGTAGGTCTTAAGTGAGGTGAAACTTGGGGGTATGCAAGAGAAATCAGACTCCTGAAAGGAGTACAATAGTCTGGAAAGGTTAAGAGCCACTGGTCCAATATATCTCTGGTTGGTGAAACGGAAAGTGCTAAAGACTTGGTCCAGCTCTTGTGAAATGGACATAGTCAATCCTGAGCCTACTGTTGACTGGTGCCTTGGTGTATTTGGACCTTTTGATCTCTCTGTACTGTTAGTTTCTCAGTTACGCCCTTCTCAGCATGCTGCTTAAACAGTTGGCCATACACCAGAATTTTCCTTTGGACCAATTTCTGCTGTTCTGGGTCACTTAATCTCCCCAGATGGTCTGCCGGGGGTTGTATATTGGTCTCAGGCCAGCTGGTAGTATGTTCAGAGGAGGGCCTCCTCTGAGACATGGTAACAATTCAGGCAGAAGGAAGCTGATCACTAGGACAATAACTCACAAATCAACACCATAGCATATGTTGTGGTGTGTGTACAGGTAAGTGGCTTCTGTAGCTTTCATCCCTGAGCAGTGAAGTATAGAAAATAAATCTGAGACACCACCAAAGCAGTGACTAGTCCCATATAGGAAGGAAATAGTAAAACATTACAGCAGTGACTTCCATCCAGTTTGTACTGTGAACTCTCTTGAAGACTAAAAGTAAGTCTAATGAAAATGATGTGAATGCCTGTGCATACTTGGGAGAAATTTTAGATGTGGTCAAGTGGCATTAATAGGCATACTCTGGGTACAGATGGTTCTTTAGCATGCCAAATATCTGACGTAGGCAGGGTCTTGTAGTGAAACTTCCCTTTGGTTATGGTGAACTTCATTGTTAATCCCTACGAGTGCAGCAGTTATAATCTGTGTAACACATATAATTCCAGTGTGACTATCAGCTATTTCTGGTTGAAGTAGGGAAGGAGAAGAGAAGTTGCCAGTAAAAGGATAAATGGACACAAGTCAGATATTAGGAATGGCAATATACAAAAACCTGTAGGAGAACACTTCAATCTCCCTGGACACACAATAGCAGATTTAAAGGTAGCCATCCTGCAGCAAAAAAACTTCAGGACCAGACTTCAAAGAGAAACTGCTGAGCTTCAGTTCATTTGCAAATTTGACACCATCAGCTCAGGATTAAACAGACTGTGAATGGCTAGCCAACTACAAAAGCAGTTTCTCCTCCCTTGGTGTTCACACCTCAACTGCTAGAAGAGGGCCTCATCCTCCCTGATTGAACTAACCTTGTTATCTCTAGACTGATTCTTGCCTGCATATTTATACTTGCCTCTTGAAATTTCCACTACATGCATCTGACGAAGTGGGTATTCACCCAGGAGAACATTTTCAGAGTTATCAACAGCCTCCATTTCCAAGGTGTTCGTAACTCTGAGGTTCTACTGTGATGTCTTTATTTCACCCTGTACATTTTTGGCTATGAAATGGACTGTCCATTTTTCTGACCTCATTTATTATCATTATAATACTTTCGAGATTGACAGAAGGGTGTTTCAAAAGAGAACACTTCTAAGGGGTCATCTCTAGAGTGTAAACCGATATAACATCTTTTTTTATCCCCATCTATGTAGAGGGGCATATGGTCTTGGCTATGACCGAGATCTGTAGGGGATGTTACTAGTAATTCCTTTTTTAAAGTTTAAGCATATTCTGTACTTTAGAAAGATGAGGGATTGACCCATCTGAGATTGCAGTCCTCTATCCATGGAAGAGATGCATGGTTTTGTCAGTGACATTAGCAGAGTTCAGTCGAACCTTAAAGATACAGACTGACCGGTCAACTGGACATAATGGAGAACCGGAAGTAAGCTATCAGCAGAGACAAAACCAGCAAATATTGTACTGTACTGTGTCTGTATTGCATCTTAAAGGTAGGCACATCTGGGCTGCCTGTCCCCACCCCCACCCCCTTTTTTGCCACAGTGCAAGGCAGCCACTTACAGATAAGAGGTGGTGAATGCTGTTTTCTCCTCTCTTCCCCACCCTGGCTGGAAGGGGGAGAAGTATGCAAGCTCAGAGCCTGGGAAATAAACTTCCCAAGTTGCTACTGAAACCTGGCCTGGAATGTAAGCTGCTGAAGCCCGAGCTCCTGCCTGCACGCTACACTCTGGAGGAGCAGCTCAGTTTTAAAGGGCCACAGCCTGCACTGTGCGCCCACTGATGCTGCAGTGCCCCCGGGTGCCTCATCACCCTTGCAGCCCAGGGGGCTAGAACTAGTTTCCTTTGCCCTCTCCCACTCTCCAGGCAGAGCTGTGAGCCCTTGCTCCAAGCAGTCTGTCCTGAGGAGCATCCCATCGTGTCTTGTTCAGAGTTACGAACAACCTCCATTCCCAAGGTGTCCATAACTCTGAGGTTCTACTGTAGCATGGAAGAAATATGCAGAGTGGCACTTCTCCGTTTGTGCATCTCCTTTGCTACCTCCTTTCTTTTGTGTTACCATACACTTTAATAATCTTCTGGAAAGAAGGATGCATGGTGAGGTAGAAAACTCTTTCAGATGACAGTTATTTAGGTTAGTCAAGTCCAGAGAACACAGAAGAACTTCAGAGGGACCCTAACCAACCTAGCTGAATGGGCAACTTAGTGCCAGATGTTCAATGTTGATAAATTGAAAAGTAATGCACACTTAGGAATGTGCGGAATACTACTCATGTACCTTAGAGAGTTCTAAACAATATCCAGTCTGGAAAGAAACTTGACATCATTATAGACAGCTCAATAAAGATTTCTGATCAATGTGCAGCTGCAATCAAAAAGGCAATGTTAAGATGTGTAAGGAATGGGATGGGAAACAATTCAGAAAATGTAATAGCACTA